CCCTGTTCTTTGGTTTTATGTGCTGCCCAGTTGACCCTGTGAACAGATCAGAACTGTGCTTTGTCCTATACCATCCTCACCATCTGATATGTGCCAACCCATTGCTACTACAGTCCCTGTTTCAAGCCATCTTGTTGATGGTCTTTGATAATAACCTCATTAAAGTCTCCTCTTGAAGGAAAGAGGAAGAGTCAACATTTTCGAGTGAATGTAAAGCAAAAGGCGACGAAAGTGTCACACTCAGTTACAAGCAGTTAGAGTATCAATGAAACAGAAGGTGAGACATTATGGAAATAAGGACCACTTCTCATTACCCCGCACCCTATCACACTGATGACAGGCCTGTCCTACAGGCCCCATTTGACATGTTTAGAAAAGTGAGAAACACCCAAGATTTCCCCTCCAAGCCACTCCATCAGGTTCAACTTCATTGCCCTCAAAAACAAACAGGAACTGGGGGTCTTGTCACTTATGGCACATTCCTCTGCTCCCAGTCTGGGGGCTTTGTTCCTGTAACTGAACCCAGGCCAGTGAGTTCATAATCACCTCCTGTGCAAACACGCTGATCCCACTTGAGTTCGACCCACCTGTGCACAGAGCCCACAGGCACAGGCCCACACTTGCCCCCTGCTGGCAGGCCTAGGTAATAATCGGTGTGCACGCAGCAGGGGATTCTGGAAGCTGACATTCCCTGCAGGAAGCAGGGAGTCAGCAACAGCAGCATCAGGACCACATTCCTACCCCCTCCCGACAAAGGGCTAGAATCCAGGTGCTGATGGGATCCTAAAGCTGAACGTCACCTCAGCTCAAGAACAGAGCTTTCGTTAACTTGGTAAAAGGTTTAATATACAAATCAAGCAATTCATTTGGATGTCAACCCAGTTGTCATGGAGTCTACTGATTCACAAAGGAGCCTCTGTGCATAGATTTGCACAAAGGCTGATTTTCCAGGAGACTGCCAGGTCTCTTTTCCAAGGTGCTTCAGGTGAACTCCAACCTCTGGTTAGCTTCTTAACCTTTTGGAATATCTCTGAAGTGTTAACTCCTAATTCATTGTTATCAGTCAATTCTAACTCATAGTGTGACATTCTATTGGGCTTCTCAGGCTTCTAAATCATGTGGGAGGTGACCACCCCATCTTTTTTCCTCAGAGCCACTGGTGGACTCAAACTGCCTGAAATGTACAGCCTTGGGTCAGCTGCACAACTTGATACAAACTATGCCACTGTTTTATGTGTTGTTAGATGCTGCTGAAGCAATCACAACTCATTAGAAGGCCTTTTAGACCAGGATCTTCTGTGTCCTATCCTGACCCATCATCATCTCCGCCATGCCAGAATCCATTGTTGCAATCATTGCATCATGACCTAAATATATTCTCTCTCTCTGTCTCTCTCTCTCTCTCTCTCACACACACACACACACACACACACACACACACACACACACACACACAATCCTTGGAGGGGGCCAGATAATGCTTGGAAAAGTGGAAGGCCAGTCTTAGAGAGGAAGACCCTTAACAAGACGGATGACAGTGACTGTAACAATGGGGTCAAGTACATCAGAGAGAGTAACAATGTGTGTTACTCTCTTAAAATGGGTAAGAATAAAGCAAAGTTGAGATCATTATCCACTAGTCATAGTTCACTTCATATTCGCAATCTGCTCTTCCCCAGTTTCAATTTCTAAACGCATTCTTACCTCAACTGTGATATCTAAATGAATTCTGACTCTTTATCATGCAAGAGAAGATGGTGAGTTACCTCTGGAACATGGACAGTATCAGTCTCCACAGTAACACTGTCTTTGTAACTTACAATGAACTGAACGCTCCTCACACTTCCACTGCTTCAAAATTAGCTGCGCATGCAACTTGCCACTGACTTGCACTTTAAACAAAGCACTTTAAATCCATGCATGTAACATTACCCAGATGTAATTCTCTAGAAAGAAAATGTCCTATTTTATTTACTTTTTTTTTTCAAACAATCTTAGAGGCAAGGTGTTAAACTGATTGAACTTTCACAACATCGACATTATTGCTTAAAGTGCTTGAATTGGTTACACAGAGAAAAAAAAATTAAGGTACAGATCACTTTAAATAAAAATGATTTTTCTTTTCTTTTTAAGCAACAAAAGCAAATGAATGCCACACAAACACAGTTAACTATTTTGGTTACACAGAAATGGAAGCCAAAAATAAATTAATGAAATACTGGAAAGTAGGAAATTAATAATTAGGTATAAAAACAGGAAAAAAATGTTCCCTGACCCATGCTGCCATGACAGTGCTGATGAATGCCTTGACCATAGAATAGCAAATGGGGCAAAACATGTAGTGCACAATATTTTAATACACATGAACATACAAAGCTGATCAAAATGCAGTGTTTAAAGATACAGTCCATTTGTAATAAATTCACACTCCAGTATCTAAAATAAGCCCTAAGCTCTGGTTAGAAGCATGCCCATGAAAATGAATAGAGCCCACGAAAATAAATGCATGGGGGTCATATTTCTGTCTTTCTCCCCCCACCCCCATTTCATTTTAAATCCAAAATACACCAGGCTATAACACCAAACATGCCTGGACTCCTGTGTAAACCAGTACACACTCTGCTTGTGCTTTTCTTGATTGAGCCAGTCCACACAAGGTGCTCTACCACCACCGGACCAGATGCTTCCATTCTACCAACCATTTTTAAACAAACGATTTTTTTAACATACTGTACTGTAACCCAGATGCCCAAACAGTATGTAACCAATAAAGCAAGTATGTCTTCTCTCTTTTTAAAAATGTAAAACACTGTCATTTATTTTAAAATACACACCAAAACATACAGCAGGCCTGCTCAGTCCTGCCAGGAAACGGTTTACAAAATCCCCGGCCAGCTGAGTGAATATTGCTAAGCCTTTGTGCTCTTGTGACCTCAGATCAGGCCCCGTATCTTTGCCTTCCACTACAAATAAGGGATTGGGGGGGCAGGGGGCGCTGTTTGGATGCTCCTGTCAATACAGAAAGCAAGATGATATGAGGGAACAACAGTGTAGCTGCCTAGTGTTGGTATCACTGATTAAAGAGGAAGGGAAAAGGTTATGTTTAAACAATAAAAACAAAAATAAAACTTGTGGAGTCTGGAGTGTTGGTAGATAAGTGCATTTTGTTCTTTCTCCTATCTTTTTTTTCCTGCCATCACATAACACTTCAGTGTCTTCACACGTTCTTCCATCCTTATACCCCTTATTCCAAAAGTCTATTCTGGATACTGACCTGTAATGACCCTTTCTATTAAGAGGAATCACTCAGATCCCTCCAACAAAAAAGAAATGTCTGAACACACAGCTTTGTATTTAAGTATTACTTCCATCAGGTTCAAATAAACCATCTTTTTGTTAATCAATTAGCTCCATGAGTCACTTCAAGGATGTTTTTAATAGATACCCCTCTTAGGAATCAGTTCTAAATATGCTAGTGAGAGAGCAACATTATCTTTTTTTAAAACTTTATAACCTGAAGTCAAATATATGGAGTATATATATAGTCTAAACATGTTCCTACATTAATCAACTTCACCCGGAAAGTACCTCACCTTAAAAACACAATACTTTCCATGAAGTAATTACTGCATGTTTAGTGGAGGAAATGTTTGTAGTTTTTTTTTTTTTAAAAAAGACAAAATTATAAATATGAATTTGCCTCTAAACAAGGCAAGGTATATTTTTGTCACTTGTGGAAAACAAGAGTACGACTATCACCCTGTTTTTGTCTTTTCCAGTGAAAAGTAGACCATTTCACCTCAAACATAAACAATGATGTGTTAGCTTGTTCCTTTAAAAATTGTGAGCAACAAAGCCCAAGATATTTCAAAGAGAAGAAATCCAGTTTGTCCTCAAAATAAAGTGCTATCCTTTTAAACTGCTGCAAAATGACTACCAACACCATTTGCTTTTGATTTGAGTTCACATTATGCCCAAAGTGTGCACATTGGTTCACTGGTTTATTAGGTAACAAAAGCATACGTTCACAGTATATCAATGTATGGACGTTAAATGAACTCCCCCATAGGGAAGCCAAGCTCCACAGCTCATCATATTCGTAGGAAACCAAAATCCAGCTCAACTGCCAAATAGCGCATTAACCCTTTTAATAAAAGGTCTACTAATACTCAGATGCTCTAATAAATACAGATAGAACAAAAAAAAAGAAAAGAAAAGAAGTAACTCAAGTGAGATGAGGTTCTTAAATTAAAAAAACCCAAAAAACAGTAACTCCCATGTGTTCTAGGAGTCAGAGCCAAAGAAACAGGCCACGTTTTGTGCGCGCCTCCCCTTGCCTAGGAGACACCTTCTCTGACCCGACTCAAACCCAGTGGTTTTGGTACTCCCTCCTCGGGGGGGGGGGGGGGGTCATGTTAGCCCAGAGGCTCCCCAGGGCCTCAGCGAACAGACTGAATGGATGTGTGGCCAGCGGCACAGTGCAGCTGAGGTGGCGTCTCCACCCTGCAACCACAGACTCTCGTAAGAACATCAGCAGGACAGGAAAAATACCTTGGAAACCTTAGTGCTGGGTAAAGGATAGCAACTACTCACGGGACCTTACAGAAGTAAAAAAGCTTGTTTTTGTCTTTTTTTTTCTCCCCCTTATAAGAGTGTCACTAAAAACAAACAGCATATAGTTCTATTCCTGAAATTTCATATTTTGGTAGAAAGATTAAAAAGGTAACTCTTCACTGTCCACAAAAGCATCCTCCTGGAATTGCCTGCCCTGAGCCCCACACCTTCTCAGCCCCTGGGATTCTAATGGTGAATGGCCTCTTCCCACCCCATTCACAGAGGGTGCCCTCTGTCTTGAGGTTACTCCCTCTTAAGACATTTGTCACATTGTGCCAACTTAAAGCTATAGCTGCAGTCCTGCAAGGTGGATGGACATCTGCTCAGGTCTGTCCTTTTGTCCGAAGGGAGGCAAGAGAAGCTAAAAAAATAAGTAGCAATGTTTCCAGGGAAATGTTAAAAGGAATGCATTGTAAGGAGACCCTGGAAGCGACTGAAGTTGAGCAAAGACACCCCCGCCCCCAAGTCGACTGTAGAGACATTCATAAGAAATGCCAATTTAATTCAGCCAGACATGGAACGTGGTGTAGTGTATACCCAGTCTTTCTGTTAGCAATGTTACTCATAGAACCTTACTACAATCTGATTGCAGTTAACGCTACATCAGACTAAAAGAAAACCAAGAGTAGTGCTGCCTGTAAAAAATGGAAGGCGGGGGAACAGGGAGGGTAAAGTGTAACACAGCCAGACCAGGGAGACGCGGAGTGACGTCACTGGTGGGCCACTGGGGAAGGAGAAAAGTCCAGAGAAACCAGGTACTAGTTCTTTGAGCGTCCTCCCGGCTCGGATGAGTTCCATAGTTCCTTATGTTATTCTCTTGACTGATAGAATAAAATATATCCAGATTCAGAATTTTTTGATATATCTGACGTCAGGCCATAGAATTCTTCAATAGCTTGAGCATCTATTTTCTGCAATGAAAGAAATCAAACAAGATGATTAAGTTAAGCAGTGGGTGAAAGGAAAGAAAACAAATCATTGAAGTAATACCCCAAGGGTGGCGGTCCTTAGGAGCCATCGAGTTGACTATGACTCACAGCAAGCCTGTGTTGAACAGACCTGAACCTAGCTCCAACCTGAACCCTTCTCAAAATCTCTGACAGGCGTGAGTTCACTCTTACAGTCACTGTGTCAACCTGTCTTACTGAGGGTCTTCTCTTTCTCCGATCTCCCACCTTCCCCAGCATGATTTATTTTTCCAAGGACTGGTCCTGCCTGACAACATGTCCAAAATATGTGAGACCAAATTTCCCCATCCTTGTCTCTAAGGAGCACGCTGGTTGTACTTTCTCCAAGACAGACTTGTTTGTTCTTTTGGTAGCCCCTGGGTTGTTATTCAACACAACTAGGAACTGAGTGAAATGGGTAATTCAGGAGACTCACTAAAAGGTGTCTTACTTGAACTGCACATAGCTAGGGAAGAAGGCATTGTCACCTACTGATGATCCTACATGCCTGACAACCTTTTGAAGATGCCAGGACTTTAGTTTTTCAGATGCTGGTAATCTCAGGAATAATTTCAGTCCTTCAGCCCACCAGAGTTCATTCATTTTGTGCTATTACATTAAAATAGTTACTCTGGCAAGCTAGACTAGAACATGTCTTTGAGTGTGAAATTCTTTCGAGCTAGTTAGCATTCCTTTACAGCACAAGTCAATACATGGGATATTATTGTGTACTATAAATTTCCATGCTGAATAGACTGGGGGGGAAACTTTCTAAACTAAAATTAATAAAAGAGAAATCTAGAACCATGAAAGAAGCCCAGAAAGGGCGTCAGAAAGAAATAAATACAACTTATTATGGCATAAGAGATCCCACATTTCTGGCTGATCAGGCAACTTAACAAGAACACAGTATTAATGAATCCACCATCATATTTTTTGTCCCTTTCCAATCAGAAAGTTCAGACAGAGAAGTAAGTTAATACCCGATTAGAGTATGAGAAAACAGGTCTAGGTCAGGAAATGCCCACACACACTCTGCCCTTAAAAACCATCCATGCCGGGTCTGGAGATGTAGCTCACCGGTGGAGCACGGTGGCTCACGTGCCGCGGCTTTCTGGTTCGTGGTTCATTACCGCTACCAAGGGAAAAACCATCCATGCCCTATCCCTGCTGAAGAATAATGGGAATACCAACCTCTACAATGTCATCATCAAACAAAAGCCAGAAGCCATGGCTCTTCACAATAGTGATGTAATGTCCACGATTGGGACCACTGGAAAAGAAAAACACAAAGCCACCACGTTACCAATTAAGTCTTTATAACATTTGATTCTTTACAACAAAACTGTAGAAAAATAATAGCTTACAGAAACCTATAACTAAGCCTATATCCCCTTCTGTACATGTCGTATGAAACTATTTCATTCCTCCTAAGCATGAATTCACTGAAATCACTACTTGGAAGAAAGTAACTTGAATAACTCATTTCTCTGTCAATATTCATTCAGGTAGAATTTCTGAAAGAACACCATTTAGAGGCACTGAGCCTGGCATAAGGGAGTACAGCAATGGACAGGGTAACTTGCATTCTATTCTAAGGACTCCACACCAGCGGGGAGAGCATACAGTCAAAATCAGCAAATAGTAAATAATTACTGTCTACCTCCAACATGCTAGGCTCTATTCTTTTATGTTAGAGGTGAACAGTAAACAAAACAAAGTCTCCATCTTCTTAGAGTTTGGGGTAGGGAATAGATAAGCAATAAAGAACTTAAACATGAACATATGTCAAGCGATAAATGATAAGTCCCACCAAGAAGAAGACAGCTAGGAGCAGGACAGTGAGTAACACCAGGGGTACAAGGGGGTTCCCTACTAGATGATATAAAATGGTGAAAGATGGTCTTTCCAATAAAATAGAATTTGACACGGTGGAAATGGGGAGGGGGTTGGCCATGATGGAAGTTTCTGGAATGAGAAACAGCAATCACAAGAGTCTCAGGTTGGGGGTAGGAGTAATGCTTGATGTATTTAAGGAGCAATAAAGAGGTCAGAGTGGCAGGAGCAGAGTGAGTGAGGGGAAAGATCAAGGAGGAAGGTCAGAAGGGTGGTTAAGGGCAGATCACGTGGATGGGACCATAATGATTCAGGCTTCAAATTTTACTGAGTGAGCCAGGAAGACACTGAGGAATTTTGAAGAGCGATGAGATCTAAATTTTAGAAAGATGGTAGCAAACCACAGTAAAAAGGTATGTATGTTACATTATATAGAAAACACTATCAAAGCCAATGCTATCGCTATGACTACATAGTTCTAAGGCAGTAGTGATGGTGCAGACAGTGAATTCTAGTCTTCCACAAAGCAGACCCAGATTCCACTCTCAGGTGCTGTCACTGTCCAGGCTTTTACTACGATGCTGAACAGGTTTCAGGAGACTCCAGCCTAAGACAGACTAACAAGAAAGGTCTGGTGATCTACTTTCAAAAGCCAGTCCATTAAAACCCTCTCGGTTACAATAGCTCGGTTTTGTTGTTTATGGAGATGCCATCAATTGGAGGCCAACTCAACTGCAGCAAACAATATATGAGTTAAAATTAAATTAGTACGATTGGATGGTGGCCCACTGGATGCTGAGAAACGGAGCGCAGGGAAGTCTAAGGAGGAGGCGAGAGCAGAGGAGAGTGAAGAAAATGGACTACAGATGACCACTACTGAACCATGTGGGCCTCAGCCTCCATGACCCAAAACCAGAAGAACTAGATGGTGCCTGCCTAGCACTGCTCATCATTCCCAAAGGGATGGTTACCTAGAAAGTGCTGGCTAGAGTGGGAGAAAATCATGGACAGAGCTCAAAATCATCAAAGACTAGCTTCCCTGGTCCAATCAGGAGAAAGATGAACAATCTGCTTCTATGTGATTTCTAGCCTCTGAAAGCCTGCTGAAGGGTCAGCTTATGAGTCTGTTCCAACTTGTAACAAGAAAACCTGCTCTAGGAGAGAATGATGCCACCCTTCCCCCCCCAAGATGATGACCCTTAGTCACCCTTCAAGCCTAGAACGCACTCCTGTGGCTCCACTTTAAGCGGACACAGTGAACAATAAACAGAGGAGGTCCAGAGGTCCATAATTCTCAGCGTCATCAAATGCGCAGGATCAAAGAACAGCCTTTGCCCAGGTACAAAAATCCAAAAGTAGGGAGGGATAAGAAATAGTAAATGCAGAAAGGAGATGGGAGGAGAGTTTACATTATGGGGATTGCAATGGGTATCATCAACAACATGTACACGAGTTGCAGTTTGCTCTATATACTCTAATTCAACTACAATAAACTGTTTTGTGTTTTTTTCATTAGCACAATTTTAGGGATTTGGGGTCCTAATTATTGAGTTTTGTATTGAGCTTTATACCAGTACAACTGAAAAGCTACATTTCCCCTTGCATGCTCACATCAACAAACGAATGGATCGAGAAGCTGTGGTACATTCACACAATGGAATACTACGCTGCATTGAAAAACAAGGAACTCATGAAATATTATGCAAAATGGATGACCCTAGAGGACATTATGCTGAGTGAAACAACTCAGTCACAAAAGGACAAATACTGCATAGTGCCACTGTTGTAAAATAGGACTGACATCAGGGTTGGGGGGAGACTAAGAAAGACAGGATAAATAATGTATACTGCATTGAAACAGATAAGGGAGGGGAAAAGAACTGTTTAAAAGGGATACGTGATTAGGTATTATTGTCATGACAGGAGTCCAGAACGAAGGCTGCATAGTGGAGTGGACCTGGGGGGAGGGATTGTAAAACAATGAAAGGATTTTTCCTTTACTTTTCAAAGAGAAGAGTGTACTGGGGGTGGGGACAGGAGGTGGCAGGGAGAAAAGTGCAACAATGAGTGAATGGAAATCCAAAGTCTCTGTAAATTTTCATTAAAATTAGTAACAAAAAAATCATTAAAATAATAAAAAAATATGTTGCACTAAAAAAAATCATTTAAAAAAAAAAAGAATTTGATCCAATCCTCTCTCTCTAACCTGACCACAGTCACTCTTTTCCCTGCCTTGCTGCACTCCAGTCCACTGCTCTCAGTGCAACTGTCACCTTCCAGATAAATATTCCCTGACTATGTCCCCTGGAAAAATCTCTCCCTTTACTACTCTACTTTATAACCATTTATTCTTCCTTTTGTTGTCAGGTGCTGTCAAGTCAAGTTCAACCCACAGTGACCCTATGAACAACAGATGTGAACCCAGGCCTATCCTGTGTCATCCTCACAATCTGACACACTTGAGCTCACTGCTATATAGTCACTGTGTCAATCCACCTGGTCAAGGGTCTTCTTCTCTTTTATTGTCCCTCCACCTTCACAAGCATGATATACTTCTCCAAGGAATAAGCAAAGCTAGCAACATGCCCAAAGTATGTAAGAAGAAGCTCATCATCTTTGCCTCCAATAAGCACTATGGCTGCACCTTCTGCAAGGCATATCTGTTTGTTCTCTTGGCGGTCCATGTGATATTCAGTACTCTTCTCCAACACGATATAGTTCAAAGACATCATGTCTTCTGTCATGCTTATTCAATGTCCAGCTCTCATCAGTACAGCAAGTGATTGAAAAGACCATGGCCTGAATAAGGGGTACCTTAATCCTCAAACTAACATCATTGCTCCTCAACAGAGGAGTCCTTGACTACAAATGTGCCTAATACAATACGTCTCCTGATCTCCTGATTGCATTATTCAAAACTTTGATTTAGCTTGCCATGGTGTGGTTCTGGTGGTGGCTAACAGACATGTCTACTTGTTAATTATCTACTACTTCTTTCACTGGACCATAAGCTTCAAGAAGACAGGGCCCCTACATATCTTATTACCATTGTATCTTTAAATTCAGACTTGGAACCCCGAACCTGAAGGAAAACACTTTCAGCAAAACACTATCAGCAAAACACTTGGCTACTCCCTATCTAGGGGCTGCTTCTCTCTTTTCTCTATGCCTTACAATAAAAAAAAACCCTCATAAAATATTAGAAAGAGACAGAAAAACATACAAAAAATATTCCTAAATCATTCAAAAAAGCAAGAAAGTTCTTAATATAATTTATCTTTTCGCATCTTTATTCATATTTTTTTCCTTTTCTTTTTTTTTTATTTCCATTCATTCATTGTTGCACTTTTCTCCTCTCCCAACCCTCCCCCCTAGTACACTACCCTCTTGGAAAAGTAAAAGAAAAATTCTTTCATTGTTTTACAAACCCTCCCCCAGGTCCACTACACTACACAGCCTTTGCTCTGGACTCCTGTCATGACAAAAATACCTAATAACATATCCCTCTTAAACAGTTTTCTCCCTCATCTCTTTCAATGCAGTATACATTACTGAACCCGTCTTTCTCAGTCTCCCCCGCAACCCTGAGGTCAGTGCTGTTTTACAACAGTGGCACCATGCAGTATTTGTCCTTTGGTGACTGAGATACTTCACTCAGCATAAGGTCCTCCAGGGTCACCCATTTTGCATAATATTGCATGAGTTCCTTATTTTTCAACGTACATTTTAACGTCCATTTGTAATCTTAACATTTATTTCTCTATGTTTATTTCAAACTCTTCATAAGCATCACTGGTATTCCATAACAGTAATTCAATTATTTATCTTATAATACCCCATTTAGATTATCTTTTGTATGGTTTTGTCTTACTCTATTTTTGTATGTGTACATTGTGTTGTTAGGTGTGGTCAAGTCAACTACAACTCATAGTGAGCCCAAGAACAAGAGGTCTGAACAGGCTCTATCCTGTGCCATCCTCACAACCTGTCATGCTCAAGCCCATTGAGGCAGCAGTCACTGTGTCAATTCACCTTGCTGAGGGTTTCTTCTCTTTCTCTAACCTTCTTTCTTTCTTTCCCAGTGTGATGTCTCTTTCCAAGGACTGACCTCTTCTAAAATCATTCTCAAAGTGTATGAGACAAAGCTTCACCATCCTTGCCTCTAATAAGCACATCGGTCCACCTCACTTAAGATAGATTTCTTTCTTCTTTTGACGGTCTGTGGGATATTCAGTATTCTTGGTCAACATTATCAATTCTTCTTTGGTCTTCTTTATCCATTGTCCATCTTTCAGATGCACAGGAAGTGATGAGATGCCATGGTTTGGATGAGGTACACCTTAGTCTTTAAGGTCTTAAGTCTCTAAGAAGCAAAACCATCCACTTCTGAAATAACAGTTCTTCAAAAACCCTACAGATATGGGACAACTACTATAGAAGGTAGTCTGGCACTTTCTCAAAAAGCTGGAAATAGAAATCCCATTTGACGTCACAATTTCATTACTGGGAATATGCTCCAAAGAAACCAGAGCCACAATTCAAAGAGCTGTATGCACACGCATGTTTATTGCTGCGTTATTCACAATAGCAACCTAAGTGCCTATCAACAATTGAACGGATACAAAAACTATGGTACAATCACACAAAGGAAAACAATGAAATAGTAAAACATTACGAAACATGGGGGACCCATGAGGACATTATGCTGAGTAAAATATCTCAGTCACAAAAGGATAAACACTGCATAACACTTCTGTTATAAAATAGGACAGACATGAGGGGAGGGTTGGGGAAGGAATGAGGAAAGAGTGGATAGATAAAGAACACTGCATTAGAACAGAGGAGGGGAAGAACTTTCTGAAAGGAATATATGACTATGCATTAGATGTAGGAGAACAATCTGGAACGAGGGGTGCTGTGCGGGATGGGCTGGGGGGAAGAAAAGATGTTACTATGAATAAAAAAAATTAAAAGAACAAATAACACCTTAAAAAAACAAAAAGCCCTTCACATAATGGACGAACACTCTGTACATAGGCCTTTAGAAACAAGAGCTTTAGAAAGACTCTCCTTGTCATTACTGTGTCTGTTAGCCCAGTATGAAGACTTGTTTTTAGTTGCCAAAATCAATTGAACTTAATTGATTCCAACTTTCAGTAATCCCACAGATGTAGAATAGAAGAGTTCTCTCCAGTTTTCAAAGCTGTGCCATTTTGAAAGCATGTCACCAAGCCTGTCTTCCAAGGTGCCACTGGGTGAGATTTGAACCACCAACTTTCAGCCAATAGATAAGTACTTCCTGTTTGCACCAGCAAGAAGCTGCAGTAAGAGTGCAGCTGGGTCTAGTTCAGCAAAGGGACAACTCTTACACTGGTAATGAGCAGGCAGTCAACAATCCTGCTGGCTGCCTGGCATACCTGCCACAGTGGACCACGACGGCGACCAGGTCATACATGCGGTCCAAGTTCACTGCGTCGCTGGAGGTGTTGAAGAGCCGGAGCTCCAGAGGGAAGACCACCCGGTAAGACAGCTTGGTGTACCTGTGGAGCTGTTCCATGTACTTGAACCTCTTCAGGTGCAGGGCCAGAATCATGGGAAGTTTTTTCACTCTCATCCTAAGAAAGATGAAACAGACTATCAGTTGGCTCTGAAACTTGCTTCTGGGATAATAAACATACCACTGTCAGCACAACTGGGGAGCAGAAGGGCTCTCCTGATCTTCAAACCGAGCACTCAAGCAAGAAATACCCATAAAAGACAAGTCATTGTCCTCATCTGACTCTTGCTTTCTTTGTTTATAAAATGCAAGTGTCAGCTTAGGGCTTCATTTCTCCAGCTGGGCTCCCTGGAACACCGTGATAATAACAGATGTGGGTTATCGGTGACCAGCTCGGCTTGGACAAAGCTTTCTTCTATTCTGAAGACCCTTAAGAAGCACACAGAATAATATACAGGTTTTGAGAATACCTGTAGTAAAGAAATGGTGTGTTTTTTTTTCTTTGATGTAACATTTCCCAAACTTACTTGAGCCAAGAGTTTTTTAACATCTCTATTTCTACTTTTCCAGTTAGTTTCTTTCCAAGTTCACCACTCTATGACTTCACTAAATTAGAATCCAACTTGCACACATTTCAACATATATTATTTTCTTTTTTTTAATCAGAAAGATGTTTTGTTTTGTTTTTTTGGTCTCACTTTTTTTTAATACGAGTTTATTTACAAAATTCTAATGCATTGTTTTCCACACCACATTCTTCCAATTTCCCTCACTCCCCCACCTATCAAATTGCACAACCCCATAATTAATCCACTCTCCCTCTGCACATCCTCATGTCTCTGCTTCCACCCTCCCCCACAACCATTCTACAATAATGGTTTTATACAATATTTGTCCTTATAGGACTGAGTTAGTTCACTCAGCATAATGCTCTCCAATCCCAACATATATTGTTTGAAAGGATATTACAAGAGAATTCCTTTTCCTCTTTAAAAAAGTTATTTGCTGCTGTTGAAAATACACACAGCAGAACAACCTTCAACATTCTTTACTTATACAAGTCAATGATGTGGATTATATTCCTTAATCAAGTGATCATTCTCACCTGTCTTTTCCAAACTGTTCCTCTCTTGATATTACAAACTCACTGTCCCTAAGCTTTCTAGCTTACATTTCAAGCTGTTGTCACCAATTTGATCCCATAAAGCTAGTTCTCAAAAGGATACAACATTCAAGATAGACATTCACTACTAATTAGGATAAACAACTGTATGTCTTCAGGGAATATTTTGAGCTAAAGACAATCTCAGGCTAATAATTTTGAGGGTTTACAAGTCTGAATTCCAACAGAATCTGAAATTTTGCTTCATGTTTAGCCCCTTTTTGAGCAGCACCTCAAGAACCTCTTGATTTAGGAATCTATTTGTGCAAAACCTTGTTCATGAAAAATGAAAGCACCAGCAGAAACTTAAGAATAAGTATAATGGAAAATGTGTAACGATGAAGAATAAAAAATGTTTAAAAAGAATAATGGAAAAACGCATATTGTTCTAGAATAGCTAGTATTTCAGTACCTCAAGCCTCAGCAGCTGTGCAGAAAACACTTTAATAAGACCTAGGACTGGCCTTTTACAGACAGGGATTACGAAGACAGAGGCAGAAACGAGCTCCCGCCCACCACTTCCACTCTTGCACGTGACAACCAATCACCTCTAAATTCTGGTGCAGCGAGGAGGACTGGGAGGCTGAGCAGAGAAAGGATTTCAAAGTGAGGTCTCAAGACCCCTGTGGATTTTAGAAGACAGTAATGAGCACCTATGAGCTCCTGTGAATATTTCAGAACCAGGGGCAGGCAAAATTTAACTCACAGTAGGGTTTCAGGGGCTAATTAGAATGTCACATTTCTTGGCTTCTTGGGGCAAATGATAGGGAATCCTTGGTTATCATATATTTTGCAAAGGCTGTAATTGGGTGGTGCTAGTGAAATGATGGGAACCTTGGGTCCTATATCAATTCAAAATGTAATAACTTTCTCTCCAGTCTCTGTAAATGATGCGTTACAGATTGCCTCGTGATTATTTGTGAAATGATTTCCGTTTTTAACCTCTTCTATCTCCACCTGAGAAACTCCAATGTTATAGAAGATAGTGATAACAGTAACATTAGTTGTGCTACGCATTATACTAAGCATTTTATATCATTTCTCTTTAATCCCAAGAGGCAAGAGATTATGTTTGATATAACCTGTGTGCCTAACAAAATACCTGCTACACTGCAGCAGTCGCTAAATATTTGTTGAATTTATCATCACATAAGCAGGCAACTCTCCAAAGTAAGTACTTCTCTCCCACTTTTATGGTTGAGGAAAGGTAAGTGGCTTTTCCGAAGTTGTATCACTGTTAAGTCCAAGAAGCTGATTCAAAGCCAGGGACGCTCAGCTCCACAATCTGGTGCCTTTACACCATACAGAGTCATCTCTTAAGTAAAATCCATTTCACACACCTTTTCTGGGCCTCCTGTTTGCTGCAGCACGTTTCACAATAATATTTCTGTTCACTGCACAATGTTTCTGTGTTGCTGAAATCCCTGAGGAGAAAAATATTCGGGTATTTTTAAATGTCCAAAATGCATTTAGTCTCCCACATTTTACAACCCTCTCCCGAGGCTGGCAAGAAGTCACTGGGTAAAACAAACAGTTAAGTGTGAACAGAGTCATCCAAAGTTGGTGGTCAGAATCCACTCCTAGGTGCAACAGGAGTAAGGGCCAAAGATTTGCTTCTAAAAAGTCAGTCATCGAAAGGCTTGCCCTACTGAGACACAAGTCAACGGCAACTGTAATTCCCTACAGGATAATTCTGATGTGAATATGAGAAAGTATACAATATAATAAGGCAAAAAGTTAATAATATAACAAGGGAGCTCTGGTGGCCGAGTGGCAAGAAGCTGTGCTGCAATCCCAAAGGCACTCAGTTCAAATCCTCCAACTGCTCCCAAAAGGATGGGTAATACCTACAACCAGGAGAAGATAAAGTAGATAAATGGGATCTTCTAAGACTCAAATCCTTATGCACATCCAAAATCTTCTCCACCAGGGTAAAAAGGGAAGCCACCGACTGGGAAAAAGTATTTGGTAATAACATATCAGATAAGGGACTTATATCCAGAATTTATGAAATACTTGAGCACCACAAGATAAAGGGAAATAATCCAATTTAAAAATGGGCACAGGATATGAACAGGCACTTCACCGAAGACGACATTCAGAGGCTAACAAGCACATGAAGAAATGTTCAAAATCCCTAGGTCTAAGAGAGATGTAAATCAAAAACAACTATGAGATATCATCTCACCGCAGTCA